TTTGCCGAGCCACCAATAAACGTTGCTCTAGTCAGAAACATGAACCGACAAGTCAAATTTACTTGGAACTGTTATAAAAATACAAGTAATAGATTTGCAGGAGGGACACGTCTATTTCTCTCTGTTTTCTCCCATATAGAAAGGTGTCACGATAAACGCTCGTCACAAGCACCTATAAAAACCGCCTTATCTATGCAAATAGATTTAGTTAAATATTTGCATTTTCTCTACGCACTCTTCTTGAGGCCAATAACCTTTCAAGATTTTTTCTGTTTTTTTTTTAGAAGATGGATTATCAAGCCGAATTCTGGATATACAGATACAAATAAAAAAAAACTTTTCTGCAAATTTCATCTGTATTTTTAAAACGTTTAAATAGAAATTCTCCTGATGTTTCGCATAAGAAATTCTAGTACATGATAGATAAGCTTCGTCAATTGCTATAAATAATAGTACCAGTCGCCAAATATATTTAAAACTCTGTTAAATTACGGATTAATTTACAGGATAGGCATTAGAGTTCTTCAGCACTATTTTCTTTATTTTGAAACGGCACATTCCTTAAAAAGTGTGAAACCATTAAAACGTATTGATTTTTGGAAGTTAAATGAAATTACTCTTCTAAAATTGTGGTTTTCTGCAAAACAATCTGAAGGAATCAGCAGTTTCCCATATGGTGCCGAATTCGCCCTGTTAATGGAACGCCAAAACGAAAAAAAAAGTTTCTTTTTTTATATTACAACTGAACCATTCTTACAGTTTTCTAAAATCACAGGCATATTTCTAAAGCTAAAAGATAAAACAAATTATTTTGTCAATTTAAAGTTTAATGTGCCATAGTGAAAATAACTGTTATTCGCTAAATGAATTAAAATATGGGCCATAAATAAAATACAAACACACATCAACACGGTAAGGGGTCACTTCTGTGTGGTGTAATGGTTAGCAACTTATCTTGTTACATCAATTACAAATGTGTAGTGGGTTCAATGCTCAAAACCTTTGTCCTTGTACCACATCTAAGCTACGCTTACAAAATCTTTTGGGCAATTTGACGTGGTGCAATTGTTAGCAAGCTTATTTCGCCAGATTACTTACAACTGAATATTCGGTTCGATCCTCACTGGGTACCTCATACATTCGTCGTCGTGACATATCTGAGCCACGCTTAGAAAATCACTATTAACAAGGTATGTGATCGCTTCGACGTGGTGCTTTGATTAACAAGCTTGTCTTGCTAGATCAATTACAAATGAGTAGTGAGTTCGATTCCCACTAGGTGCTCAACACTTTTGTTCTTGTGCCACATCCAAGCTATGCTTAGAAATTCTTTTATGACACTTCGACGTGCTGTACTGGTTAGCAGACACATTTCGCTAGATTATTTACAACTGAATAGTCAGTTCGATTGTCACTAGGTGTCCCATTCGGCCCCGTGACACATCTAAGCTCAGTTATGTGTCATGCATGATACAGGCTTAGGAGATTACGAATCATTCGATACACGACAGACGAGGCAGATTTATTCCCGCTGTAGATTGCCATTTCTTTCTGCAGTAGACCAGTTGTCATCCAAGGCTGTCCTCCTGCTATTTACCCATACCTGAGGGAAGAAGATGAGGATTCATACCTGTCCCAAGGGTATTAGCACTTAAGTAAATGTAAATGTAAATATCCTGCGCCAGTAATGGATTTACTCAAGTTCGATACTTCTCATTTGGAAATGTCACTTCAGGGCATAAACAATCAGGGTCCTCCACAATCTCCAATTTTTGTCGCCCTTAGCAATGTTTGACTTATTGCTCTCCTTTTAACGTCTTGTCTCTACTCCATTCATACAAGATTGTTAGATCGGTTACTCTGTGTTCATTTGCTCCTTTTGTCTTCAACATTCCTTTGAATGTTAATTTTACTAAGCACTTTTGTCTCATTATCATCAAGCCCAAAATATAGCAAGAATTTTTAAACTTATTATATTTATTCTATTTTTCATGGTTTTTCTGTTTTATTTTTGTGGCTTATTTGCTGTTTGATACAAAGGTTTATCAAGTCTTTAAAATGAACTTTTCTATATGAAGGTGTTGGACATTGCCACATTCTTATAATTCCTTTTCTTGTCTTCTATTATAATCGGCACTATTCTTTGTAGCACAACAAATCTAAAATATGGCGCGGAAGACATCGGAAGTGTGGAAGCTTCTGGAATAGTCAAATTTCCAAACTATATCTCCCACTAGAATTCTTATTTTCCTTATATATTTTTTTCAGAATCTTCAAAACAGTGAAAACTATTTGGAAAATAGGAAAATTGCCTCAGATTAGCATCGGATGGGCGTGTGTCTTCACTTAACCTAGTCCAATGAGAATAATATCTGGGAGCCAAATCACTGTTTCCCGATTTGGGATTGATTTTAGATTATTATTAGATAGATAAATAGATTGACAGATCAGAACAGGCTGGAAGAAATAGATAGATATGTACATAAACAGATCTGAACCG